CATGACCTAGCATGACCTTTTGAGTGACCACCGATGACATGACCACTGACGGCTAGCCATTAGCTGCACCCTGCCCGTTGCATATGGATCAGGTGGTGATGTCATGATTCTGAAATTATATTGCAGTTTTGGCGCACTTGTCTGAGCAGAAAACATTCCCACTTTTCCTCCATGACTATGATGATGAAGCCATGAAGCTGACCAGACGCAAGATCGAAAATTTGAAAGTACGAAACGTAAGTAGTTGGCACTGCTACTCATACCTAAGCAATTCGCAGCTTGTAGGAAACCAGCTTTGAGTTGGCAAGACTGCAAATTTTGATTTAGAGGCAAGGATGCTTGAAAAGGTGATCGATCTTATAGTTGTCCTATGATAAGTTTGGAAACGGGATGCACCATTCGATGTGTTTTGGGCTTTGCCAAGTTTCGCGGCGTTACGTGCCTCGTTTTTTTTTTTTTTGCATACACGATCAGTATCTACTTTTGGGATTCTCAGTCAGGCAAGCCCCCGTCCCCGTCCCCCCCTATCGAAAACCCGTGGCGCCGCCCCTGTGTTGAGTTGAGTCAGAGTTGAGTCGGACAAAAATATTAAGGTGTTGAGTTGAGTCAGAGTTGAGTCAGTAAAATAACTTTTGACATTGAGTTGAGTCAAGAACATTTAGGAACATGAGTCAGCTGACTCATCTTATTAGAAACAATGTATAGTATAAGTTTTTCATTCTCCCCCCCCCCCCCCTTAACAGCTTAGGCCTGGCCCTGCTGCCGGATTTTTTCACCCCCCCCCCCCCGCTCAACAACTTTTTTATCTGAGTCAATTTTGAGTCAACACACTTGACTCAACAAAAAATTTGAGTCAAGTTTGAGTCAACTCATATTTTTATTGAGCCGCTTGAGTCATGAGTCGAGTCAAGGGTAAAAATCAGCTCCTTGTTTGAGTCAGAGTTGAGTCAGGGCATTCTGAAGTTGAATGATGAGTCGAGTCGGCAAATTTTTTTGAGTCGAGCACAACCCTGTTGCAAGCTTTCCGATCGATCGAGTGGTTGCAGTCACATAAGCATCTGTCGCAGACCAGTCGGTTACAAGAAAAACTACGAACCAGTAAAACGCCTTTTGGGCGAAGAACGAGCGAGCGAGATAGTGAGCCTTGCACGTGCGAAAGGGCGAGAGGGTACTTCCAACGGGCTTGCGCAAAGCACCCCTCTAACCGGTCGCTAGCGGTTTATCAAATTTGAACGCAACTCGGCCCAGCCGTTCCTGAGATCTAGAAGCGGCATTCTGCACGTGCGCACGTGCAAACGGGGTCCAAACTGAATTTTGCACGGCACCCTACTAACTGGTCCCCAACCGTGTGCCAAATTTGAGCGCAATCGGCCCAGCCGTTCTCGAGATCTGGAAGCGCCCCCTACACGTGCGCACGTGCAGTAGCAAGGAAGACTGCCACCTTCAAAAAGTTTTCTCAGATCGGCCCATGATTTTTTCCCTGGATAAAACGAAATTTTAGAATTCACCTGGCAAGCTATCATCACGTGAATCGCGTAAAAAAATTATCGATTATCATAAATTATCAATCGGATAATGTCTAGCGACAATGTTGACACATCACTAGACTTCAAGGTCATAAGATATGGAAGCGGGTTTTGTCGCCATAAACGGCGCGCATGTTACAATTGAAATATACAATGATCCTTGCTTTGGTTATGTATGTCGTGTTTACGCTTTTGGAATTGCCTGTTTTAATGAGTTATGTTATCTATATCTTAAAATATTCCAATTCTGATTCATCTGATAGGTATATATATACATGTATTTTGGCATGTGATATTAAAAGCAAGACTATTTCCAGGTTTATATGAATAGTGATAGACTAAGTTGAGACAAGTGCTATTTGAATAACAAATACCTATGGTATTGGAAAAATTGTCATGAATCTGATAGTGTTTCCATTCCAGCACCAATTTCCCAGTCTTCAAAGTGTGGCAGGGAGCTCAATCCGTGACAAGATGTTTGGGACAGTCAAAACATTGCCCCAAGCGGAATGCCGAGACCTGGGCAACCCAATTCCTTTCATGAGGGCCCCTCATGAATATGATGAAAATGATATAATGATGAAGTGCATCATTTAATAAGTATGAGAAGCGAAATGAATCAATGCTGTGACAAGCTTTCAACTTCTGCCCCAGATTTCCTTGCTTCTGCCCCAAAATTCCTCAAACCTGCCACAACCTGTGGTGTGTGCCCTGACAACATATTGTCAAGACCTGCCACGTTTTGCAGACTGGCCCATTTCTGTATGCCTACCTTCCAGGTGAAGATGCCTGGTGAGCGAGGGAGAGGACGAGGACGGGTGAGGAGAGGAGGTGGTCGAGGGGCAAGAAGAATTCTCAACTTTTCACCCACCGCCCAGCCCGAGCCCCAAAGGTAAATAACTGAATGTTTCTTACGATGCGATGTGAAAGTATGAAACAATTGTTAATATTTATTTAATTGCCATGTGTGGCCTAGCCTTTATCTAGGTTGCTAGCCAATATATATTTTAAGGTGATTATTGCAATTAAAATTATCATGTACCTACCTTGAAAAGTCAGGTACACTACAAGCAGAAATAATACAACCTAATCTAACCTTACCTAACCTTACCTAATGTAAGATAATCTCACCTGACTCATTGTGTGGTTTGGTGGAAGTTATAAATGTTTTGTGAAAAAAATATGGTTAGTACACAAAACATTTCTAAGGATGTGTTCTTTCTAATCATGTTTTAATTTTGTAAGTCTCTTCATTTTCTAAAGAGTGCAAAAGGAGGTATTCAACTCTGCTCATGATAATTCAAAAGGAATTCTTAAATACAATGCACCCATAAATCACCGATTTTCACTTTGTGGTTCATCAGAAAACACATTCAACATCATTGTCTTTCTATAATGAAAGATGGCACTAAAACATGAACCACTTTTCTTTCAGAAAAGTAACCACTTTTCTTTCAGAAAAGTGGTGCTAGGTGAACTTGATACAGGTGAACTTATTACTTAATACTTAGGACACATGTCTTGACACGTCTTGATCTTATCGTGGGAGGCGGCTCGGGTTGGAGATACACGTACACTGGTTATTAGGGAGACCATTAGGTACCATTAATGATTTTACATTGCTGTGCGATACGAGGTTGTACCTAGTGATGTTGCGTCATTTGTGGACTTCCCCCCTGCGAGTTGTCTGGTCCTAGGATTTCATGCACATCTTCCTTCACTTCAAACTGGGATTTACCGGTGACGTGTTTTCTCTGTGTGCGCCAGGTGTACCAGTGGAAGCTCCTGCACCACGTCTTTAAGGACCACCTTGTGATGCTGAACCCGGTGCACCTTTCCCTACAAGTGCACCGTCTGTACGGCCACATTCGCATATGTATACAAACAGTTCGAGAATGACGTCTACAGCCCTCACTCTGTCGTCGCCAAGAAGATTATGGAGTCGTTTGGCCGTAGGAAGGCAGCTGCGGCGGCGGCCGCCACCGGACAGCCCATCAAAATCAACAACGAGATCACAATTCACAATCATCCCTCACACGGGCTCGGGCGGTGCGGCAAAGGGCTCGTCTCAGGCCAGCTCGACGCCGGTGAAGCGGCGGCGACCGGAGTCGGCGCCGGCTCCCGTGGAGCGTGAGTGCGAGCTGTGCGAGCATCGCGCGCTGCCGTGGTGCAGCCGCGGCCGCTGACGGAGCACTACCTGCGCCAGGCGCCTGCACCAGGGCCGGCCAGAGCTCGAGTTCACGCCGCTGATGCGCGACTCCAAGTGCGCCACCTTCGTCACAGAGGAGATCTGCGAGCAGCTGCGCCGGCGCGCCGCCGCCGAGGACTCCGACAGTGGGGTCGAGGTGGAGGTGAGCGACGCGAAGGACGGCGCGGCCGGCGGCGCCCCGTCCGCCTCCGGTGGCAGCGCGCTCAGCAAGCTCAACGAGGAGACTCACGCCTATTGCCGCGGCGCGGCCCCGCCGGCTGGTGACCGTCCGGAAACCCAAGCCGTTCATGGGTGACTGAGTGAAACGAATGGACGTGCATGTGCGTTTTTGTTCTGTGTATGCGTGCGTTTGGAAATGGCGTCTCTATGTGCGTGCTTGTTTTGTAGAAGCGCTAGCGGTGCCGACGGACCCAGCGATGGCGCGGAGGGCTTTGATGTACCGTGTGTCTTTGATGTTGATGCATTCTCGTGTTTTGTTGGTCGCGCGCCCAGCAGCACCGTGTACATAGCCGGGGGCGTTCCTGCTCGACGCCACGTTCTGTTCGTTGTATCTCAATGCCAGCTTTTTGCTCCAAGTCCCGCTCGTGGAACACGCGACTCGCTCGATTCAAATAATAAATATACACTTTATTTCTCTGACAACCTGATGTCCTCTCTCTCCTCTCTCCATATAAAAATACGGCCACGGTGAGTAGGTGCCGGCCGGCGTTAACTGCCTCCGGCCGGACGGTTCTCAGTTGATATGTGACAACAGTTAGGAATGTAACACCGCCATAGTACCCTCCATCACTGCCGGGCGCGGCGGTCCCCGCACACAGGACCGGCGGGGGGGGGGGTAGCGACCGCCGCCAGCTGCTGGCCGCCCATCAGCTGCAACACCAGCTGCTGCAGATGGACAAGCTGCTGGCGGTCCTCGTTTAGCGCGATCAGCTCCTGTTCGCGCGCCGCCGACACAGCGTTCACAGCGCCGCCGCCGATGAATTGCTGCAGCCGCGCGCGCAGCTCCTTTCGCTCTCTGATGAGACTGAGACTGAGCCAGCCAGAGCCAGAGTCGAGACTGAGCCAGCTGAGTCTTGACAGACCGGACAACACACAAGGCGCCAAAAACGAAGCAACATGATTGGTCGACACATCGAACCGTCTGTCACAGCGACTGTGCTTGGACCACGGCCATCCCGCAATAGTGACAAGACAAGGCATTATCCTGAACACGCGCAGAATCACGCCCAAAGTCAATCGACACACCAAGAAACGTAAAAACATGCAACGGAACGAGAACTAATTTATTGAAATTAATACACAACCCAACACTAGTCAGAAACGCAGCGATACCATTCAGCGTCCTTGGACATGAAAAGAAAATCATCTAAATACGCCAAACACCTGACGTTAAATCTCGACTCTACAAGTTCACTGAAAGCATCTGTTAGGTACTGCATCTCCGAAGGAGATGCAGTACCTAACTGCATCTCCTTCAGTACCTAATAATGCAGTACCTAATAATGGTACTGCATCTCTACCTAATAATGCAGGAGATGCAGTACCTAATAGGGCCCATTGGTAACAGAGAAAAGGTATAAGCACGTTTTACCATCATACAAAACACCAAAAGGACGTGTGGAACGTGCGCGAGAAATGTGATGAAATCCATCTTTTAAATCAATCTTGATACCGGTATAAACCCCAAAACGATAACTCTAACGCATCCCAATAGACGGCAAAGAGCACGGCCGGCACGGCAAGAGGGGCGTAAGCACTGACAAATCGTATACCAGTCTGGCCACAGTCGCACTTTTTGGCACAGTAGCAGGCCAACTAAACAGCGACTCGCTCGCGACCGGTGCCGACGGCGATGAAGATTCGTCGTCACCAGCGTCCTCCCCAGGCGCGCTGCCGACGGGGCACGCCGCCACCGGCCCGCCAGCATCACCGTCGACCGATGATGTCTTCAAAGAAGAGCCGTTCCCCTCAGTGGCGGCAGCAGAAGAGACCGCAGGCGGCGGGGACCCGGAGCAGGGCACAGAGACGTTGCCCCCCGCCGCGCCTCAAACGCCGACCTAAGCCGGACGTCTCGGCGAGCCGGGCCCGCGGCGCGCGGCGGAGCGCGCAGGCTGGACGGCCAGGCGGGGCGCGGGCGTCGCCAGCTCCGCCGTCGGGTGAGCTCCGGAAATGATGATGGAGAATGATGGAAGGATGATGTCATGGAGCCGCGGATGCTGCTCCATGGCAGAAATCACCTCTGCAGCTGCGCCGTGCGGATGTTGGTGGCGAACGCCCCCTGGGCTCTGAGTCAGCTGGCTGGTGGCTTGCGCGCTCTGTGGGAGAGCAGGACAAGGTGTAAAATGCTGCTACGGGACACGTAAGCAGATGTAATACCTCTGCTCGAGCTACCACATGCAGATAAGACTAAGGTCTGTTCCATTTCAAGCCTGCAGCCGAAGTACCATGCTGTAAACAACACATGCTTTATGTTTGCATAGCTCCTACATTAACCCTCGCCCTGGCAGGACATTTTTCATAACACGGCCTGGCAGGGGGGGGGGGTGATGCGACCCCCCTCGCGATTGGCTCCTATGGCACCTAGAAACACCAAATTTGGTAGGTAGGTGGGCCCCCTGGAGTTCTCGCCCCTGCGCAAATTTGGTTGCTCTAGGTCAATATTTAGGGGGGTTTTGGGGGGTATAAATGTAAAAATTTTGCTGCAGTATGCTCGAGGCACGTCCATGGTCAAAATAATAGATAAAGCCCAATTTGAATAATTCTAGCAGAAAGACACCAGAATCACCCCTCAAGCAAAAAAGAAAAGTTTGTCATAAATAGGTTGCCAGTTCTCACCTGCTTCCACTCCACCGCCGTTTACCAGCTCGCAGCTGGCGTCCATGCGGTGTTGACACCAGCGGCGCAGGTGACGTCGCCGACCTCTCCGGCACTGGCAGAGTCGACGCCACGGCCGTCGCTGGATGGTCCAGTGCCGCGGATGGTCCAGCTGGTGACGGCGTCACGGCCGTCGCTGGATGGTCCAGGGCCGCGGATGGTCCAGCTGGTGACGGCGTCACGGCCGTCGCTGGATGGTCCAGGGCCGCGGATGGTCCAGCTGGTGACGGCGTCACGGCCGTCGCTGGATGGTCCAGTGCCGCGGATGGTCCAGCTGGTGACGGCGTCACGGCCGTCGCTGGATGGTCCAGTGCCGCGGATGGTCCAGCTGGTGACGGCGTCACGGCCGTCGCTGGATGGTCCAGGGCCGCGGATGGTCCAGCTGGTGACGGCGTCACGGCCGTCGCTGGATGGTCCAGGGCCGCGGATGGTCCAGCTGGTGACAGCGTCACGGCCGTCGCTGGATGGTCCAGTGCCGCGGATGGTCCAGCTGGTGACGGCGTCACGGCCTTCGCTGGATGGTCCAGTGCCACGGATGGTCCAGCTGGTGACGGCGTCACGGCCGTCGCTGGATGGTCCAGTGCCGCGGATGGTCCAGCTGGTGACGGCGTCAGGGGTTCCGCGGAACTCGCAGGTGACGTCGCCGTCGCAGGTGACGTACCAAGGTTCTGAAATCACAGTGCAGAGAGAGGTTGGTGAACTACCAGAGTGTTTACCCGTGCCCTGCTGGGGGGGGGGGGGGGGGCGTGCCAATAATGTCTTTTTGTTCCAATGGGGCGGATTTGCAAGCCTTCGCCCCATCAAAAGACGGCACAATTACAAAACAACGCACAACGTCATAACGTCACAGCCCACAGGCACTCATCTCCATACTATTGACTGACGCACCACCCCAAGGTCACATGCACTTGGCCCATGCCGAAAAAAGATATTATAACATTAGAACACATTGTGTCACATTATAAGCGTCCTTCTCTTTGTCAGTGGCGCCCAGCTCTGCACCATATACCGCCCCATGGGTAAGCCGCCTCTCACTCAGACAAATAATAGAACCACCCCACCGGCACGCGATTACGCGTTCGAGCAAAATATGGCCGTCCGCACCAGCTGCTTTCGCGTCTAACACTACCGCTGGAATTCTCTCGGCCACGGAGCGCGCTTACCTTCGAGGGTACAGCCTCCGGCTGGAGGAAGCGATTTGGGGTGTAATCGCTTGATTTCTCAAATTCTTGGTAATAAAGCAGGTGGTTTCTCTGTGCATTTACATTTGTGCCACAATAAATGGCGACAGCCTACATAGGTTGTTACGAGCGAGCAAGCGAAGCGAAGTCTTTTCAATACTAGATGCAGGCAGCGCTCGTGCGTTGCCTTGGGCCAGAATTGGAGGGATGGTGCCGAGAGCATGCCGGGCCAGGGAAAAAACAATAAGTTAGGTCTTGGGGGTAGACTGAAAGATAACCGAGACCTTTTGAGACTGTAACGAACTGAAACGTCTAAAGAATTATTGAAAGCACGTGAAATTGATATGGAAATCTACCTACAGTATAGGATATGAATTCATTGCACGTGCAAAGTGAATGTCCCAAGCACCCCGGTTCATTCATTTTCATAACATACTGTAGAGTGTGTCTAGTTCTAGCAGTGTGCCAATTTTGTGTCGATAGCTGAAAAATTCCCGAAGTCAGAGGACCCCTTGTCAAGAAAAGCTACAGTTCTCTCGCTCGTTCGGTCTTCGCCCAAAAGGCGTTTATCTGGTAAAATATAACCCTCATGATACTGCATTTCAAATACTGCAATGACGGTGGCGAGATCACATACCTGTGTAGTTTCCATTTTGCACCCTGCTTATGTTGGGGCTTGTAATCAAAGTGTTGCTTGCATGTCTTGACACAACAACGGTTTACCATGTTGCTGCTGTAAAAGAAAAGCTGTATTTGTCATTTAAAGTTGTTATACAATTAATATTAAGAGGTGCAGCATGACAGCTTTCAGCATGTCTGAAAAACGTGGCTGCCACGTTTTTCAGACTGAGTCAGGTCAACGGTCGCTGAATGGTGATTGACAAATACTAATTTTTTATAACTATTTATAATTATAAGCATTCATATTTAAATTATTTATTCCTAGTTTGGTCATAGCCCTGCTCACTTCAACTGTTTATTGGTCGATCAATATTTGGATTTGCGCCTAGTAGTTTCCCAGTCTGCAAAGCATTGCAATTTTGACAAAAGCTTGTCGGTGCAGGCTTGTTCAGCTGGTGCTGATCTGATGCGGCGTGGTGCGGATTTGGCTGGTAGGGTGCAGATCTAGTGTAGCCCAGTGTCCCAAGATTTGGGTGGAAAGTGAAATCCTTGTGAAATTGAATAGTCCACTCGGTCCACTCTCACCTTTAATTTTCCAGGACAAGTTGCCCTCCCAACTTTAACAACTAAGATCATCCGCATGTACATTTGCTGGCTGGCTTGTACCTACATTCAAATTCCATTAAATCATCGCAGCTCCCACATCCTGTAACATTCACATAGAAAATGGTGATCATGTTTTCATTCTTCTTTGTATCTTTCTGACTGGCAATTTTCCACTTTCAGTCCTCTTTGTAGTGAGGAATTTTACCCTCGAACACCCAAGCCAAAATATCCCTAATTTTGGGACACTGGTGTAGCACATTGCAGATTTGCTTGTTGATGGACATGACAGACCAGACAAGATATATGAGGAAAATTGAAAAACATTGCTGAAGCTGAAGCCATACTTTGCAGCCGTGCGCAGCCATGCTGCAAAGTATCGCTCGCATGTCGACGAAGGGCACTAGCCCAAGTTCACAATCCGCACCAACCCTTCAAAACCGGAAAATCCACCCCAATGTGGGCTGAGGGTAAAAGATCCGCACAGAACCCAAAAATGACCAGCAGTTGCACACTCATTTAAACCCAGGGGACACTGAATTACACATAAAAGCTCCAGCAATGTTTTTCGATTTGCCTCATCAATATCGTCTTGTCCGTCAAGTCCATCGCCAAGCCAAATCTGCACTGTGATCCACTAAATCCGCACACCAAGCGAAATCCGCACCACGCCGCAACAGCTGAACAAGCCCGCACCGACCAGATCTTGTCGAAATTGCCATACCTTGCAGACTGGCAGTTTCCAGCATGGGTAGTTTCCCCAAGTCAATTGTATAAATTTGAATTTTGGCATGCTCATCCTCAATTGCATGATTAGGTATTCACTATGCCAGCATTTGTATTTATAACTTCAAGTTCAAAAAAGAGATAATCGATCTTTTTCCAAAACTAAGTGCACACCCGTTACTTGTTACTTGAGAGATTCCGGCACCGTTGTATATCAACTTACCACGATGAAAACCATTAAATATTAGCGCACAGAGACCGTAGAAATGAGGATGAAACCACTTTCAGCATCGCCTATGAATTAGCAATACATTTGACACGTGCCCCGAAAAAGTCTTCAATTTTATCGCGTCGTGTTTGAAACAGAGGTGGAAACATGCAGAACATGGTAGCAAACCAAAAATCCTTTACCACTTACCTTTGTCATAGGGTCTGCTCCCTTCACTAGTGTTGAAGAGATCGGACCTCAGGTCTTCCCTTTACCACTTCCCTTCAAGTAAAAAAAAAGCATTGTCTTCTACCACAAATTTGCTAATTAACAATTTATCGCCTTTGAATTGAATATGTGTGAATAAGAAAAGATAAATAAAACCCTTTTGACGAGTTTTTCCTTAAAATTTGTATAAAATGCTCTTAATTAAAATCGACAAAGTTTTTCCTTTCCCTGAAATCCTTCACAATGCTAAGAGATCGGCCTTTCTTCATGCTAGTATACTAGGAAACCTTCAACATTAATTTGCTAAATGTACGTCTTTGCTGTTGAAATTAATATTGGTATTACGAAATTTGTCACAACATTCAAGAAAAATAACAATGAATCTCTATGATGCCAAAATGTAATGAAAAGTGTCATACATGCTATCGTAGTGATGAGCATTTTCACCGGCGAAAAAGATGGCATCAAATGGAACTTTGGGAGGCGATTGCGCGTTACAGGGTGAGGATAACGGAAAATGGACTGGACATCTGTGGTGAGGGCGGGCACCTCTTACGAAAACCGGTAAGTGAAAAAAAGGTGACAGTCTACCTTTAACCGCAACACATGGGAATGCATTGTCTGGTGGGTGCCTACCTGTATGCCAAGTTTCAGCGAAATCGCCCCAGTAATAACCGAGTTATTAAAATGGGAACAAATTTGACACCTTTTATTGTTGTATTTTGCGCGTGCACTGGGGGTGACCCACATGCATCGAGAGTATCCTATTTTTGGTAGAAGGGATGCTGCTACCCTACAAAAATTACCGCAAGCCAATCGTCCAAGCGGCTGCTGAGATATGAGCCTCTCAAAATCACTACTTTTGCAAAACAGCTTGAACACCCTTCACATTTCACGTGGCACGTGCCACGACGGTCACTGAGATGTATCAAAAGTAGTCAATTACGAGGTAGAAGGGATGGGGCTACCCAACAAAAAAGACCGCAGGGCAATCGGTCCAGCGGTTGCTGAGATATAAGCCTCTCAAAAGCGTTACAGGCCGGGCCGGGCCGGGCCGCTCATACTGAAATTTTTCCGTTATATTGAAAAGACTCACTTCGCTCGCTGCGCTCGCTCGCTCGTAATAAAGAACAGACCAGTTCAGACGGTCGGGTATAAGCCTGCGAGCGATCTCAGACGGCTCGTCGATATACACGATATAAGCCAGAGTCAAACTAGAGGTAGTGTCGGACTCGGCGACTTCCAGCAGATTGAAGTCTGCAAGCGATATTATGCGTCTTCACGACCGGTATGATGCTTGCAGTCACACATCTGACCAGTCGGACAAATTTCGAACCGTTCACAGTCAGCGTTCCAAAAATTTCTCATTTGGGCTGAAGATGACACTCAAGAATAAGAATGGATAATTATCCACTCTCACATTTTGGGTGGCTAGAATTTTCCACTCAGACACCAAAGAGAAATCTGAAGTTTGGGACACTGTTCACCAAAAGCGTACCTACATAACTTAGTTTTTTAGAAAAATATTAGGGTTGCACAGTGCGCTTGGGCTTTTGAGTCAATTCTTTTCCATGCGACACCAATATGCTTAATGATCATTTTCAGAGATGTTGGGGCTGCTGCTACAACCCCCTTTTGGGGTTCCTGCTACAACTCACTTTACTAAAGTTGCACTTGTGCTGTTCACAATTCCTCCCGATCCACCCGACAACGCCCGATCCCGTCCGACCGTGTAGTGTACAGTCTCTGCCGCCCTTGTCAGGTATCGTACCGGTGCCGCTCGGCGCCTCCGGCGGTGACCGGTCGGCGGGCCGGGGCCAGCCGGCCGGGCGGGGAGGACGGGGTAGTCGCTCCCCGGACGTGTTACAGAGCGGACCGTCAATACAGCTCCGAACGCAGTGCCGTCTTCGCTGTGTGTGTGAGTGACGCGACGACGCAACATTGGCGACAAGGATGAGATCTGCTGCCCCGGTGCGTGTCAGCGAGGTATAGTCGTCGGCCCACACGGTACGTGGTCATGGAGCGGGAGCTGGCGCCGCTCGCGCCGTTCAGCTGCGCGGAGCCAAGTAAGTGGGACAGTTGGAAGCGCTCTTTTGAATATTACATTCAGGCATCGGGCATCACCTCAGAGTCTCGGAAAATAGCGCTTTTGTTACATGTCGGAGGAGTAGATCTCCAAGAAGTGTTCCATTCTGTTGTTGACGCGAGTGTCAAGGTTGAGACTCTGCAGCAGCTTTATGAAGTTTTTGATCAACAGTTTTTGCCGAAGCGAAACTTAATTTACGAGAGACATGTGTTCCGTAAGGAAGCTCAAAGGCCAGGGGAGACGATCGATGTTTTTGCAACCAGGCTGCGGGGCCTTGTACGGACTTGCGAGTATGGATCCCTTCAGGATGAAATGGTCAGAGATCAGATTGTTGACAAGTGCCTGAGCCATCGCTTACGATGCCATCTGCTCAGGGAACAATGCCTGACGCTGCAGTCGGCGCTGACGATTGCGAGGTCTATGGAAGATGCCGACAGACAAGCTGAGCTGATGGAGGACCGCGCAGCAGAGGAGCTCGCTGCACGCGCTGTGCACACGCGCCGCCCTGATCGGAGGATGCCTGGAGGAGCTTCGGATCAGACAGACGGTAGGACGAAATGTTTTCGCTGTGGCAAGGGTACTCACGACCCCGAGGACTGTTTCGCTAAAAACAAAAAGTGTCATAGCTGTGGTCGAGGTGGTCATTACCAGAGAATGTGTCGTGGGGGTGGCCAGTCTCGACCGGGCCGGAGACAAGTTCGTCTGGTGACGACGGAGCACGAAGATCACGTCTTCCGGCTCGCCGATGACGGCCGCGACGAGACGTACCCTGTCCAAGTAAGTGGCCAGTCTTGTGACCTTCTTGTTGATTCGGGTGCTACGTGCAACGTCATGTGTGAGGCTTTGTTCAAGGAAAAGTTTGGGAGTAAACAGTTGCTACCAAATAGTGACAGACTGTACGCGTATGGATCTGGAAAACCAATGAGAGTCATGGGCCAGTTCAAGACCAGTGTCACATTTCAGGGTCGCACAGCCCAAACAGTGTTTCATGTCATCCCTGGGTCACATCAGTCTCTGCTGGGGAGGGCGACGTCTGAGAGGCTGGGCCTGCTCCGTGTGGGACCCCAGGTCAGATGCGTCTCCGAGAGCAGTCATCCCGCTCACAAATACCCTGCTCTCTTCAGAGGACTTGGCAAGCTGAAGGACTTCCAGCTGACGGTGCCGATCGATCCAGGCGTCACCCCGGTGGCGCAGAAGGTCAGGAGAATTCCGTTCTCTCTGCAAGGTCCCGTGGAGCAGAAGCTGAAGGAGCTGCTGGACCAGGATATTATTGAACAGGTTAGTGGCCCGACCCCGTGGGTGTCACCCATTGTATGTGCGCCGAAGAAGAACGGGGATATCAGACTGTGTGTGGATATGAGCCGGGCTAATGCAGCTGTGATTCGAGAGAGGCATCCAATGCCCACACTGGATGATGTGTTGCATGAAATGACAGGGTCTACGGTGTTTTCCAAACTAGATTTGGCACAATCATTCCACCAGATCGAGCTGGATGAGTCATCACGGAGCATTACCACTTTCGTCACACACAAGGGCTTATATAGGTACAAACGTTTGATGTTCGGTATCTCGTGTGCCCCAGAGATGCACCAGCGGGTGATTCAGCAGGTGCTGGAGGGGTGTGACGGCGTCCGCAACATTGCCGACGACATCATCGTGTATGCCCCGACAGTCGCGCAGCATGATCGTCGTCTGGACGTAGTCCTCCGCCGTTTACAGGATGCCGGCCTGAAACTGAACGGTGAGAAGTGTCAGTTTGGCATGACTGAGCTGACGTTCATGGGGCACCGTCTGGGGAAAGCCGGAGTCACTGCGACCGGCGAGAAGGTGGCGGCTGTCTTGAACGCCAGAGAACCGCAGGATGCTTCCGAAGTGCGGTCTTTCCTGGGTCTTGTGACATTTCTGGGTCGTTTTATCCCCGATCTGTCAACAGTTTCGGCACATCTCCGTGACCTGACGAGGTCTGGGGTGGCGTGGAAATGGGAGAAGCCGGAGAACGACGCCTTCAACGAGTTGAAGCGGAGGCTGGCCAACAGGAACGTTCTCGCTTATTTCTCCCTGACAGCAGAGACCCAACTTGTCGTGGACGCTTCCCCGGTGGGCCTCGGCGCAGTCCTGCTTCAGAGACAGCGCTCAGGTGTGCTCAAGCCAGTTGAGTATGCCAGCCGAAGTTTGAGTGATGTCGAGAGGCGGTATTCCCAGACAGAGCGGGAGGCTCTGGCGGTGGTTTGGGGCTGTGAGCGGTTCCATTTGTACCTGTACGGCATTGATTTTGACCTCCTCACTGACCACAAAGCACTCCTGGCGATTTTCTCACCTGGCTCTAAGCCACCAGCCAGGATTGAACGGTGGGTGCTGCGTCTGCAACCGTATCGCTACCGTGTGAAGCATGTCTCGGGACGGCTTAACATCGCTGACTGTTTCAGCCGACTGACACAGACACCGGCTCCTGCTGGCGGCAACGGCGGCGACCACTACGCACGTTTTGTGACCAGTCACGCCGTCCCGTCCGCGCTACAGAAGAGTGACATTCAAAAGGAGACGGCCCGAGACGACCAGTTACAGCTGGTGATGCGAAGTCTGCCAACCGGTAAGAAGCAGGACTGCCCAAGGCCGTACCGAATGTTGTGGCAGGAGCTATCTGTATGCGACAACATGTTGTTACGGGGAAATCGCCTCGTTATTCCAGATCGACTTCGCGGGAAGGTCCTAAACCTGGCACATGAGGGGCACCAGGGTGTCGTCCGTACAAAGCAGAGGCTCAGAAGCTGCGTATGGTGGCCAGGAGTGGACGTAGACGTTGAGAGACTGGTAAGGTCGTGCCATGCGTGCCAGGTCGTGTCTGCAGGGAACCCGCCTGAGCCTATATGCACCACAGAACTTCCATCAGGGCCCTGGGAAGACTTAAACCTTGATCTGTGTGGACCGTTTCCTGGTGGTGAGAGCCTTCTTGTGGTAATCGACAAGTACTCGAAGTGGGTGGAAGTCGAAACAGTGTTTCAAACCACAACCCAGGAAATCATTATTCGTCTCGATAAGATGTTTGCTAGCCATGGTTTTCCGCTGACGTTAACAACCGATAACGCTCGCAACCTCACCTCGGCCGAGTTTGATGACTTCTGTAAGGTGCGTGGGATCCGACATCTGACGGTGACACCTCTCTGGCCACAGGCTAATGGTTCTGTCGAGCGTCAGAACCGGACGCTGCTGAAGGCCATCCGGACCGCCGTGGCGGAGGGGCGGAGCTGGCCGTCCAGCCTGCCGACGTTCCTGCTGGCGTACCGCACCACGCCTCACCCCGCCACGGGGGTCAGTCCCGCCGAGCTGCTTTGCGGTCGGCGGCTGCGCACCAAGATGCCGGCCGCCTCTGGTCCCGCACCGGCACCCGACCGGCCGGTCGTACAGCAGAGGAACGCGCGCTACCGTGAGGCGGGGAAACGCTACGCTGATCGACAACGACACACAATGCCAGCCAACATCAGTGTCGGTGACAGAGTGCTGGTGAAAATTCCGAACAGACTCACTAAACTGTCAGGAGCTTTCTTCTCAGAGCCGTATAGAGTCGTGTCGGTGAGCGGCTCTCAGGTGACGGTGAGAAGGCCTGATGGAAAGTTGTTTAAGCGAAACAGCAGTTATGTTAAACAGTATGTTGAACCGCGTGATTTCGTTGAGCCGTTCTCTCTTCCACGCCGCGAGGGTCCGGCGTGCGCCGCTACGCCGAGCGCCCGGGCAGACCGACCTCCTGACGAGGCGGCTGACCAATGTGTAGGACTCCGCACGCGCAGTGGTCGACTCAGTGTGAAACCCCAGTGGTTCGGGAACGTTGTAAGCCACTGAACGAGGAGCATGAACTATTCGTTTAATTGTCATTTCCTTTGTGATGTACTTAAAGATAAGTTGGGGAGGGATGTAGTGTACAGTCTCTGCCGCCCTTGTCAGGTATCGTACCGGTGCCGCTCGGCGCCTCCGGCGGTGACCGGTCGGCGGGCCGGGGCCAGCCGGCCGGGCGGGGAGGACGGGGTAGTCGCTCCCCGGACGTGTTACAGAGCGGACCGTCAATACAGCTCCGAACGCAGTGCCGTCTTCGCTGTGTGTGTGAGTGACGCGACGACGCAACAGACCGCTTCCGAATCTCCGACTACAACTCCGAAAAGAGTTGTAGTCGGCGATTTGGTGTTTTAGGGCGCACCAGCAACGAGGCTATATGGCAAATGTAGTCGGCGAGCGATCCACTCAGGGCTCGCTGATTTTTAACATCCGACCGGTCGTAAGTTATCGTCCAAAGTTTTATCTACGACAATATTTTGTGCTTACTTGTGCGATTTTATGTGCACCGCCGGAGTATCACCACTGTAAGGTTGTGGGTCCCTACTCTCTACTCTCTCCTCTCTCTGAAGAGTCGGGGGGAGGGGTCGAGGCCCGTTTTTTTACATTTTTAATGCCATCCTGACGTTTTTTTTTTTGCAGAATAAAGTGGCCGAAATCTGGTGAGAAATCGATTTTTTTTTTGGGGGGGGGGGGGGCTATGGCTACGAAGGTCAGTCCATGTCGCTGCCCAAGTGGCCCACCAGTCAAAATTCCTTAGCCGAGGCCCTGCTTTACGAACGTAACGTTACGATCTTTTGTCGAGCGATCTTTTACAACATATGATCTTTATCTTACGATCATTTTCCTACGATCTTTTTTGTACGATCCATTGCTTTACGATCTTTTGCTTACGATCCTTGGTCGTACGATCTTTTGCGACATACGATATTTATCTTACGATCATTTTCCTATGATCTTTTTCATACGATCAATTGCTTTACGATCTTTTGCTTACGATCTTTTTGTCGTACGATCTTTTACAACATACGATCTTTATCTTACGATCATTTTCGTACGATCTTTTGCATACGATCAATTGCTTTACGATCTTTTGCTTACGATCTTTTTACCGTACGATCTTTTACAACATACGATCTTTATCTTACGATCATTTTCGTACGATCTTTTTCCATACGATCTTTTGTCTTACGATCTTTTGTCACGTAATCGACCGAGGAATGACTGGTGACGCCTGTGCTACCACCTAATGGTGATACGGGGTGTCAGGGGTCCACGTTCCAACCGATAACTCATATAACATTAGGGAGCAGCGCCCCGCGGACGGCTCGAAGCATGTGAGTTGCTGAGTGATGATATTCAGCCACGCTAGCCGGTGGCTTCTGGATAAAGAATATCAGCCCAAGCACCATGAGCGCACATTCTTTCCGGGCGGGGAGAGCCGGAAAGGAGGCCGCTTACTGATTGCTGGAAAGGGTCAGAGCCATCGGGGGAAGCATATCACAAAAGACTGATGACTTCCCCTCCCGAGTCACCGTTTAAACAAAACTGGACAGCCTTCTATACCGGGGCACTCCCATGCTAACGACGTGGAGCTCACCCGCTGCGACACACCAGGCGGAGGTCTAATCATCCGCCGAATTTTCCCCCACCCCACCCCTCTCATCCCTTGGCCGTTGCAACATCACCGTCCCAGCTATACGGTCTGTCAAACCCAGCTGGTCCACCTGATAAGAAATATCGAACTTCATCCAGCGACCAAGGCCCTGTTTCACGACACGCCGCTAGCCCTCATGAGCGCTATTGCGCTTTCTGTTTCCATGGAAATATCAACAAATTTCATTGTTGAATATACCACTTTCCTTGAATGTTTTTTTTTGCTACAGTTTTATGGAGCTTTTATGCTTAAAATGCAGCTCTAGCGAGCGCTGGTGACGTTCAGTGAAACAGGGCCCAGTTAACATTTCTAGCCGTGAGTTGCATCTCCTTTGGGTGGGGCCCACTGTCACAGTGACGTGTCAATTTGGTGCTGCCAGACGCTCGTGCTGATGCAACACGGCTTCTACGTGATTCTGTCTGCGCCACAGGTGAAGACGCGTCAGTCATATTGTTCCGATAAAAACTCCAGATAGGTCACCTCAGCGGTCGACAGACATGCTGATTACTGGTATCGTGCGACGTGCACGTAAGCTTGCGGGCACTGATCCGGAACAGGCATGGACTCGGAAAGGCCTCGAATAGTGGCCGGTCAGCGTAGCTCAGACACCCTCTAGAGGGGGTGCACGGTTTACATAGAAATAGTCAGTATTTAATTCCGTCTTTCCTTGTGGAAGATTTTGCTGCCTATGAGGTTGACAAGAATACTTTTCGAGCCAATGAACTAAACTGAACTAAAAGCCAGGGCCGGCAAATAAATTCGCATCATTTAAAAAGATTAGATGTTAAAAGGCCCAGTCTGTAGGACAAAGTAAGACCTCTGACTAGACGGCCATGAACACGGGGAGGTGAGCACTGAGCAGCCATTAGCGTGAGGAAAAGACATCTGTATAAACGGCGCAATGTATAGCACGTACAGGTCGCACTAAATTAGGGACATCATATTGAATCACGGTCATCGGTGTGGCGAACATCAAACTGGAGGGCATTGCCAATAATTACGCATCAAACGTTTACCAACAGCAGCTGATAACACATGCACGGTGCAATAATACCTCAGCCCTCACTGTTCACAGCTCACAAGTCACGAAAGCAGCCTTGCTGCCCACCCCATATACAACCAATGTCAAAAAAAGAAGCAAAGTGAGGTAAGAAATGTTGAGGAGCAGAAAATCATCTACCCAACATGAATCCCCCAAGTACTCTCACCCATAGTATAGCAGAAAATTATAGACATACCTCACCTTAGCCCGACTCTCGGCAGCACGCAGCAGACCACTGATCGGTATAATTGGCCGACTGCCGAGAAGTACCAGCGTACAGCGTACCGCAAATCAGCCATACCACGAGCGGGCTGAGCTGCACACTCGCACGGCTCGCAAGGACCTGGAAACACGCGATCGTCCCCCAGCGGCCGCACCGCAAGGCATATTCGATAACAAGCTCAGGCGCGGTAACCGGAGCGGTTATAGGCAGCACCACGGGGCACGGGCGCCACTATGGCATCGCTGCGCCGGTCAGCCGATCCCAGCGCGCGGCGCTGGCTGAACACGTCCTGCGGCCACTCAGCACGGCCGTGAACCCTCCGTCTCGAGCTACACCCAATCCCGCGGGTTCTTCAGCACCTCCGTGAGACGCTCCTCGGGAGAGCCGGGCTTGGGCGCGTGCATGTACTCCCAGCGGGCCGTCAGCGGCAGCGACATCAGGATGCTCTCGTAGCGCGCTCCGGGCGTGAAGAGGCCGAACTTGGTGCCGCGGTCGTAGATGAGGTTGAACTCGACGTAGCGTCCGCGGCGCAGCAGCTGCCACTGGCGTTCGGCGTATCCGTAACCGTCATCCTTGTGCTTCTGCAGGATGGGCAGATAGGAGGGCAGCACCGCCTCGGCGCACGACTCCACGAACAGGAACGCCTCCTCCTTGCTGGGCGTGTCGACGTCGTCGAAGAAGATGCCGCCGACGCCGCGCCTCTCGCCGCGATGCTTCACCATGAAGTAGTTATCACACCAGGTCTTGAAGCGGCGATAGTAGCCGGGGTCGTGCTTGTCACAGGCACGTTTCAGGGTCGAGTGGAAGTGCTTGGCGTCCTCCTCATTGAGGTAGTACGGCGTGAGGTCGGTGCCGCCGCCGAACCACCAGCCCATCGGCTTGCCGTCCTCGGACTGCACCTCGAAGTAGCGGTAGTTGAAGTGGATGGTGGGCACGTATGGGTTGGTCGGGTGGATCACCGAGCTCACGCCGGCCGCAAAGAACGGCAGCTTGATGCCGTCAGGCAGGTGTTTGCCGCGTGCGTTCATCTGTGCCACGGCCGGCGGCGGGAGCGAGCCATGCACCACCGAGATGTTGACACCAGCCTTCTCAAACACCTGCCCGTCCTGCAGTACGCACGAGATGCCGCCGCCGCCCTCTTTGCGCCGCCAGCGGTCGACGCGAAACTTGGCGCCGCTCGTCTCCTCAGCCTCAAGGGCGTGGCAGAACTCTGCCTGGATACGCAGGATCAGCAGCTCCATGCGGATCTTCATGTCCTCTCGCTCCCGCTGCATCTTGTCCAGGTCAGTGATGGGCTTTGCCATGAACTTGTCTGTCTGAATGGGTCGCAATGCCCGTGCCGCCTCTGCCTCAGTGACCCGACTGAGGCCATATCCTAATGCTGCAGAACCAGCCACCAAATACGTGAATGCTTTCTGGTTGGACTTGCTCTTTATGAACCAGAGCCCAGACGCGATAGCTGCACGTGCTGGACCATTTAGCACCCACATGTGGCCAACCATCTTTTCTGATGATCTTTTACCAGGACTGCTGAAAGCATACAAACATTCCAATGTAAGCTATCCTCCTTTCACATACAGTAGAATCCGCTACCGCTTAATAAATTCTCGGATAATAAACCCAGCCGCTTATCGTGGCCAATTGCCCACTTGAGCTGTTCACAGACTTCTCCATAGAAGCATATCTGACTCCGGTTACTAAAGCTACCTCTTAATAAATCCAAAATGTCATGTCACTAAGGTGGATTTATTAAGGGGTTTCCACTGATGGAAAGCAGACTGTAACCAGACTGGAAAACATCCTTACACTACGCCGGACGCCCGTGAGACCCTCATGCGCTGAAATTCGGCGAAAGCCCTTTTGCGCTGAAATTTCTGCCTGATTTGTGCCGAAAGTTGGGTGCCTATTTGTGTAAAAATTAAGCCACTTTTATTTAAAGCACTTGTGCACATCTACCGACCAAGGCCATATCAACCAGACAGAGCGTTCCAGGGCCTTGGACGCTCTTCCATGTTTGAGTGTTTGGATTAATTGATTAAATTAATTGAATTAATTGATTAATTGAATTAATTGAATCAGGTGATCCAATACTACCATACGCGTAGCCAGCGTAGCGCATTGTATCGTGCTGTGAAACAAGAAGGCCCGGGCCGAGGTTCCGTGGCCACAAAAAGCGGCGTAGCAGTGTGTTCGAGGCTGGCAGGCGCCAGCGAGGGCCGGGCAGCGGAGCAGCATATGCCCCGGCACATCAGCGGTCAGCCTCTTCTCTGCACACGGCGCAAAGCGCCGCCGGGCACCGCTTGTCCGGGCACTGCTGGCACGCCGCGGA